ACATTAAGCACCTAAATATATAAAGCAAATATTACCTGACCTGAAGGGAGAAATAGAAAGTAATACAATAACAGTAGGGAATTCCATATTCCACTTTCAACAACGGATAGATCATCAAGACGTAAATCAATAAGGTAACAGCCAACCTAAAACACTATAAACCAAATGGACCCAAAAGACATACACAGAACATTTTATCCAACAGTAGCAGAATACACATTCTTCTCAAATACACATAGAACATTCTCCAGGATAAATTATATGTGGGTCAAAAAACAAGTCAACAAATTTAAAAAAACTAAAATCATATTAAGTATCTTTTCCAACCACAATTGTAGGAAACTAGAAGTCAGTAACAGGAAAAAACCTGGAAAATTCACAAATATTAGGCAACAAGCTCGTAAACAACCAATGGGCCAAATAAGATATCAGAAGGTATTTTGAGACAAATGAAAATGAAAACACAAAATATCAAAGCTTATGGGATGCAGCAAAAGCAGTTCTAAAAGAGAAGCATATAGCAATAAATGCCTACATTAAGAAAAAAAGAAAGAGGGGCTGGCCCAGTGGTATAGTGGTTAAGTTCAGCATGCTCTGCTTCGGCAGCCCAGAGTTTGCAGGTTTGGATCCTGGGTGCAGACCTATACCACTCATCAAGCCATGCTGTGGCGGCAACTCACATACAAACTAGAGGAAGACTGGCACAGATGTTAGCTCAGGGCGAATCTTCCTCAAGCAAAAAGGGGATGATTGGCAACTGATGTTAGCTCAAGGCCAATCTTCCTCACCAAACAAAACAAAAAAAAGAAAGAGCTCAAATAAACAACCTAATATTATACCTCAAGGAACTAGAAAGGAAGAACACACTAAGCCAACAGGTAGCAGAAAAAGGAAACAATAAATATTAGACCAGAAATAAATGAAATAGAGACCAGAATGATAATAGAAAAGATCAACAAAACTAAGAGTCGGTATTTTGAAAAGATAAACAAAATTGACAAATCTTTAGCTAGACTAACCAAGAATAAAAGAGAGAAGACTCAAATTAATAAAATTGTAAATGAAAAACGAGACAGTACAACTGATATTAAGACATATAAAGGACCATAAGAGATTACTATCAACATTATACACCACTAAATTGGATAACCTAGAAGAAATGAATAAATTCCTACAAACATACAACCTACCAAGTTTAAGCAATGAAGAAACAAAAAATTTGAACAGAGGAGGTAGAAACAGTAACAAAAACCCTCCAACAAAGAAAAGCCCAGGACCAAACGGTTTCACAGGTGAATCATACAAAACATTTAAAGAATTAACGCCAATCCCTCTCAAACTCTTTCAAAAAATTTAAGAGGAAGGAACACTCCCAAACTCATTTTATGAAGCCAGCATTACCCTGATACCAAAGCCAGATAAAGATACTACAAGAAAATTACAAGCCAATATTCCTGATGAACATAGATGCAAAAATCCTCAACAAAATACTAACAAACCGAATTGAACAGCACATTAAAAAGATTATACACCATGATCAAGTGGGATTTATCAAGTGGGATGTAACGATGGTTCAACATGTGCAAATTAATAAATGTGATACACCATATTAACCAATAAAGGATAAAAGCCATATAACCACTTCAATAAATGCAGAAAAAGCATTTGACAAAATTCCATATCCTTCCCTGATGAAAACTCTCAAAAAATTGGGTATAGAAGGAATGTATCTCAACATAATAAAGGCCATATATGACAGGCCCACAGCTAACATCAACCCAGTGGTGGAACGCTGCAAGTTTTTCCTCTAAGATCAGGAACAAGATAAGGGTACTCACTCTCACCACTTTCATTCAACATAGTACTGGAAGTCCTAGCCAGAAAACTTAGGTAAGAAAAAGAAATAAAAGGCATGCAAATTAGAAAGGAAGAAGTAAAACTGTCTCTATTAGCAGATGACATGATCTTATACATAGAAAACCCTAGGGCCGGCCCTGTGGCTTGGTGGTTAAGTGTGTGCGCTGCGATGCTGGCGGCCCGGGTTCGGATCCCGGGTGCGCAT